CTTCTGCGGTGACTTCCCTTAAGGCGTCTTGGAAGGATAATTCTTCCTTTGCGAAAAGTCTCTGTTGTAGCTCGCGATGCCTTAACCCGCACACGAATCGGTCCCTCAGTCGTTCCTCGAGGTCCTTGAACTCGCAGGGCTTGGCGGCCTTCCGTAACGCGGCGATGTATTCCTTGGCTGACTCACCGGACCGTTGATCTCTTTGTTCGAAGGTGTGGCGCCATGAGATAACGGACACCCTGGGGTTGAAGTGCTCCTTCAGCAGCTTCTTCAGGTCTGCGTAGCTTACAGACTCTACTGGGACAGGTGCTGCAAGGTTTTCTGCGATTTCGAAGGCGTCTTGGCCGCAAACGCAAAGCAGGGTGGCCGCCTTCAAGCTATCTTCCCTCACTTGGTTTGCCTTGAAGTAGTTCTCCATTCTGGATACGTAGGACTCCCACCGCTCTGGATGTGAGACGTCGAATTCCGAAAGCCTTCCGATTTTCGCCATCTTCGGATCTTCAGGAGACGGGTCTATCAGCCAGCCTACCCCCGAATGCGCACCGGATTGGCGGGCAGCTGCCGAGTCGACGCCGTTCCTCTTCCGCCGCTCAGGACTCCTTGGGTAAGCTTACACTTCTTCCTTTCCAGGTAGTGCAAGGCATCCCACCTTCGTCGCCAGTGTTGAGTCCGTGGCGGGAAAACAGACACGAGAAGCAGCTGGAGTTCTCAGTTTCTTTTATTCAGCGTTCAGCTTACAGGAAGATGGCTTCAGCCTCGCCCAAACGCCTCGCAGCCTCTTATATAGGCAACTCCCGGGTAAATGGGTTACTTTTCCCGCGCCAGCACCCGCGCATGCGCACGGCGCTGGCGACAGCCTGTCTGGTCCCGGGCAGCTTTGCACCTGCCCGGGACTGCCTGCAAACGCCCGAGCCGTTTGCAAAGGCTCGGGACATAACAAAGACCAATCTTTTTCTCTCCGCCTTCTTTGTATAAAACCAATCCATTTGATGGGTTTATGATTCCAAGTTTCACACAACTCAGAACCAAGGTTAATTCAGCAGTCTGATTATAGATATTTATGTATTTATTTATTTATTTTGGAAAATTGATATAGCCACCTACTCGCTCACAATTTACAGAAAATAAAACAGAATATAGGAAAAAAATAAAAAAAATTATTATCATTGTTATGGTTATTACCCCCCATTGTGTGCATGCCACCAGGTAAGAATATTTATGGTATGGCCAGCTCTTTCTCTTTCCAAACCTTTTCTAGTGTTTTTTTTTTTCCTTTTTTGAGTGCCAATAAAGAAGGAAAATTAAACAGCACCTAAATACTAGGAATCCAGTAACTTGGATTCTGGTTGGTAAACATGCTTCTTGAGGAAATGGGAGAGAAACTTCATATCTACTCATATTTCAAGGAGCAGATTTGACCTTCCTCTTGTATCATGAAAGGATCGGATTATGCAATGCAGTATCTTTAGCAATACTGGCCATGGAAGGCAGTGGGAAGGTTTAGGCAACTCAAAATTTAGAATAGAGTGGAGTGGAGTGGAGTGGAATGGAATAGAATAGAATAGAATAGAATAGAATAGAATAGAATAGAATAGAAGGATTAGGCAACTCAAAATTTAGAATGGAGTGGAGTGGAGTGGAGTGGAATAGAATAGAATAGAATAGAATAGAATAGAATAGAATAGAATAGAATAGAATAGAATAGAATAGAATAGAATAGAACCTTGGAGGTCTTCTAGTCCTACCCCCTGCTCAGGCAGGAAATCCTATACCATTTCAGACAAATGGTTGTCCAGTCTCTTCTTTAAAACTTCCAGTGTGGGAGCATTCAAAACCTCTGGAGGCAGGTTGTTCCACTAATTGTTCTAACTGTCAGGAAGTTTCTTCTTAGTTCTAGGCTGTTTCTCTGCTTGATGAGTTTCCATCCCTTGCTTCTTGACCTGCCCTCAGGTGCTTCGGAGAAGGCAGCACAAGAAGCAAGGGATGGAAACTAATCAAGGAGAAAAGCAACCTAGAACTAAGAAGAAACAATTTGCACCATTGTTTCGCCACAGCCATTAATGTGCCTCTCAACTGCACAGCCCTTTCTCAGAGCTTACTTGAGTGAAATAATACTTCACTTGCAGAGAAGCAAAGAGATAGAACAAACACTAGAAGCTGAGCCTTTATTTCCCAGTTGTCAAACTGGCCACGTCAGGTGACATGTCGCGACGTATCGTGCCTTTTTTTGCACTGCCGGAGCTGGGGTGGGCGCAGCCTATGTGTGATGCAACCGGCCGGCAGTTTGACACCCCTGCTTTATTTGAAAGGGGGTTGGAGAGATGGGGAGGGGCTTACAGAGCGTATGCTGTGCAGTAATTTAGGTCTGTGTGAAAGACAGAGACAGCCTTTTCATTTTTCTCCGATCTGTCGTGAAATCTGGAACTGTCTGATACAGGTAGTCCTTGACTTATAACCACTCATTTAGCGACTGTACAAAGGTACAAAGGCAGCCCCCAACCTTTTGGGCCCCAGGGATGGGTTCTGTGGAGAGAGGTTTTCCCACAGATTGGTGGGGACGTGGTTTCGCATGCTGCCTACATCCTGCGGATGGGAGCTTCGCTTGTTTGCGTGGACTGGTTTCTGGCATGGCGTGGACCAGTACTGGTCCACGGATCGGAGGTTGGGGACCCCTGCTATAACCGGTCCTCACGCTTACAACTGTTGCAGCATCCCTATGATTACATGATCAAAATTCAGGGGCTTGGCAACTAGGATGTATTTACAAATGGTTGCCGTGTCCAGGGATCATGTGATCGCCATTTGCGACCTTCCCAACCGCGTTCCGGCAAAAGCAGAGCCAATGGGGGAAAGTTTAACAACTACGCGAGTCACTTAAAAACTGCAAAGATTCACTTAATAACCATGGGTAAAAAAGATTGCAAAATTGGGTGCGGCTGACTTAACAACTGCCTTGCTTAGCAAAAGAAAATTTGGTCCCAATTGCAGTCATAAGTCAAGGGCTATTTGTAGCTTTGTTATCAGGTTGTATGCATGTGTGTTGCATACACGCCAATTTTGTGCCTTAGAAACTGACCTAACTTCAGTAAAGCAAAAATAATTATTTACTAATTCATTACTTGTGTTTTCTCTTAGTTTCAAGGCTGCCCAAATCTCAAAGAGTGCAAAGAGTGGGTCAACGGGCAGTGCTAAGCTATAACAAGCTAAGTAAGCCAGAACTAGTTGGACTGACATACATGTAGATAGTCTAATCTGTGGGGCTAACTATCGTAAAGTAAACATGCTACACACAACTATAATTGAAGCCCCTTGTCTGCTCATGTGTTATTTTTATCTTCTCTGCAGATATTCCAGAGTGGATGCATTTCAACAAGCCACAAATCATAGATTACATCCCTACACTCCCAGAACTAAAGAAAGGCATTATGATTCGGCATAATCCATGAAGCATGAGAAATTAAAATAGTAGGTGGAATTGCCACATTAAAAATTGAAAAGAAATCACATGAGGGCAAATTGGAAGGAGAAAAGGTTAAAGTCAGAGCAACACAACTAGTAATTACTTGCAATGAAGATGTATTGCATTGTTTTATTTACACGTTTTGTCTTACCATTCCCCAATGACACAACATATTTTTCCTTCCCAGAAATTTATAAGCTACCTTTCTATTAAAGAGATATATTGTGTGGCTATATTTCACTTTGTATGTATTCTGGTTTTCCGTATCATATTCTTCCCAGTTTTATGTGATATGCAGAACTGATTCAGTGAATAAAAAACATGGCTTGGTTAAGGGAAGGAAACCTCAGCTTAGAAACCTGTTTAATGTTGGTTTAATTCCAAGAAGTGAAAGCTTTATGGCTTATTCTTACTTTGTTTTTATTCTGTGCCTAAACTTGTAACCAATTCACAAATGTTCAAAGCAAGACTTGGGGAAGCTAGCTATGATCAATTTTCTGTTTGAGAAGGCTGAATTTGCAATGGTTTGGACTTTTTAAATTAAATATGATGTCTGCATTTATTTTAGCCCCTTCACTGGGGCTGTTGGCATATGCAAGGTGATATACGTGTGTAGATAACCATGATCTGAGTACTTCTCTTGAAAGAACATTCTTCTCTTGAAAGAACATGAAAGAACATAAAACTAAAGCCAAGCATTTCACAACACTAAAGTAAGAAGTAGAAAGTCAATATGAATATAACCCTTGTGGTTAGTTTGGCTAGTTCATTGTGTGTGTGTGTGTGTTGCATTTTCTGCCTGCTGGATACACCATTTGGTGTCATAGGAAACTTGACCTAACTTCAGCAAAGCAAAGATAATGACTGAGACCTATAGAAGTATCAATTGTATTAGTCATGATTTTGTTAATCATGGATTGTGACATGCTCATTGAGTCATTTCTTTGAAGAGGATTCCAAAGCCCTCAATTCTCCAATATACAGGTAGTCCTTGACTTACGACCACAGTTTGAGCCCAAAATTTCTGTTGTTAAGTGTAACATTTGTTAAGTGAGTTTTGCCCTATTTCACGACCTTTCTTGCCACAGTTGTTAAGTGAATCACTGCAGTTGTTAGGTTAGGAACAGGGTTGTTAGGTGCATCTGGCTTCCCCATTGACTTTGCTTGTCAGAAGGTCGCAAAAGATGATCCAGCACGCTGCAACCGTCATAAATATGAGTCAATTGCTAAGTGTCTGAATTTTGATCACGTAACCCATGGGGGATGCTGCAACAGTCATAAGTGTGAAAAATGGTCATAAGTTACTTTTTCAGTGCCGCTGTAACTTTAATAATCACTAAATGAACTGTTGTAAGTTCAAGGGCTACCTGCAGCGGTGGGATCCAGCCGGTTCGCACCACTTCAGCAGGACCGGTAGCTAATTTTTTGTTGCCCAGGCCCAGAATGGACTTCCGGAAGAGGCATCCACACAGAGAACCGGTTGTTCACATATTTGAATCCCACCACTGGCTACCTGTACCATCTCTAAAGAAAAACTTACCTTAGTAAAAATAAATTTTATGAAGCCACCATCAAACGAGATGTTGAGCATTGATTGGCTATATCCGCAATATCCTGCAGTCTGTGTGGCGTTGGGATCAATATTAAAATATTCTAGTTCGCCCTGTGAAATAGGCAAGACACCAGTGTGTTAATTTCAACAAAGACTGAGAAATTATTATTGCTTACAAATTTAGAGCAATAAATCTGTAAAAAAACTTCATTTTTAGGCTCATGGAACCAGATTGGGGAAGGCTGGATTAAACCCTTTCTGACCATACAAGGAACAAAAACAAGGAAAGGGGGTGGGAGAGCTACACTAGCCACTTACCGTTTTTGTGTTCGTAACAATCATCGTCAAGCCAGTTAAGGCTTTAATGCAATCTGCAGTTCCGTTGGAAACACTGTAAGTGCCCGTAATAGCTGGTGATGGTTGAAGTGCCAATCTTGGTCCAGTTTGACTTGTTGGTACAGGCGAAGTGGCCTGAACAGATGTCATGCTCTTGTGTGCTGCAGAACTTGTTTTCTCAGTGGTTGTGTGTTTCCTCAGCTTTGTGGTGTGCTGGTCAGTAGCCCTGGAGAGAGTCTTATATACATTTTCCTTAGTTGTGCTCAAAACAGGAGTCACTTTTTTTCGACTAGCTGATAGTCGCAGTTTTGAGGTTGTTTCTTGAGACACCGTTCTTGTTTTTAAAGCTTTGTGGGTTTCGGTCCAATCAGTTTGTGTGTCAGATGGCAAAACTGTTGTCCCTGCAGCCGCTATGGATTCCCACAAAGCCTGTAATTCTGTCAATGGGATGGATTCTGCCTTAGCTGTAGGCGCTGAAGAAATTCCTTGTGCTATTCCATGGCCTAATCGATTAGCCAATGCTTGTGAATGACTATATGGACGAATCATGGCTTGGGAATTGGAAGGAGTGGAGCTGTCAGGAAATGCCTGCAGAGATGAGGTGGGTCGTAGGTTTGTCCTATTTGATGCCTCTTTATCCAGCATGTTACCAGCGCAAGAAAAAACTGCTGTGCACAGAAAAGAGAGTTAGTCTTGTTTTTAACCAGCTTTCGTTATTATGCATGTCCCTGAACTTCTTTATGTACCTCAAGAAAAAAATGAAGTCCTTTCTCCTTAGCCTAAGTTCTTGGTGTACGTTCTGAATTTGCTCACCATTATGGAACTGTAATTATGGAAGTTTATAATCTTTATTATTACTGCTTTGCAAAGCCTTACTAAGACCATACGTGGAATACTGCATCTAGTTCTGGTCACTGCAACATAAAAAAGATGTTGAGACTTTGGAAAGAGTGCAGAGAAGAGCAACAAAGATGAACAGGAGCCTGGAGACTAAAACATATGAAGAACGATTGCAGGAATTGGGTATGTGCGGTCTAGTGAAAAGAAGGACTAGGGGCGACATGATAGCAGAGTTCCAATATCTAAGGGGCTGCCACAAAGAAGAGGGGGTCAACCTGTTCTCCAAAGCACCTGAAGGCAGGACAAGACGCAATAGATGGAAACTAATCAAGGAGAGAAGCAACCTAGAACTAAGGAGACATTTCCTGACAGTGAGAACAATTAACCAGTGGAACAACGTGCCTCCAGACGTTTTGAGTGCTCCATCACTGGAAGTTTTAAGAAATGATTGGACAACCGTTTGTCTGAAATGGTGCTTGAGCAGAGGGTTGGACTAGACCAGAGGTAGGCAACCTTGGCTCTTTTATGACTCGTGGACTTCAACTCCCAGAATTCCTGAGCCAGCCATGCTGGGGGGGGGAGGGAAGGGAGAGGTTTCCAAGCTGAGCCAGGCTGGCTCAGGAATTCTGGGAGTTGAAGTCCATGAGTCATAAAAGAGCCAAGGTTGATTACCCCTGGACTAGACCTCTTTGTTATTCTGTTAGAGTTTCTTCTACTGAGAAGAAGAGGAGGAGGAGGAGATTGCTTTAGAGTTAGCATCTTGAACTCCTTTCAGAATGTCTCAAACATACAGTTTTATGAATCAATTTCATGCTAACTCTATTTCTTTGGGGTATTTGTTTCAATTGCAAAATACACAAGAGTCTTCAATTTCCTGTTTCTCACTCTCCCATCATAGGGTTTTTCCATGTTGAAAGCATTTGCCTGCTCGTTTTTGCATAGAATGAAAAACTACCTTGAAATGTGCTGTGCCTATTGCCATTGGCTATCCTGCTGCAATGACATCTATATTTACTCATTGCAAGCCCCCGATTTCTCTCTAAGATTCTGGCTAACCAGCATTAATAGAAGATGCACCAGCTGAGGGTGCCCTGGGACAATATAAAATAAAAGAAAGTGTTCATGTTATTACCACTAAAGGCCAGTTTGTTTTGCTCTTGGACTGGGGATGAGAGGGCAAGCACAGGATGAGGGCGTTGAGGTTTACCAGAATTTAACTGTGCCATAGTTTGGTCAAGTGGGGCCACAGTCAGTGACCCTTTGCCACGGTGGATTTGATTAATCTTGGCAGGACTTTTTTTCTCATATAATGCCCAGAACGGAGTTCCGGCACCTTTTTTGGATGGAACCTTGAAGGGTAGGCAAGGTGGGTTGTATGATGTGTGTGAATTCTGGCACCTTTTTTTTTTAATAGAAAAAAAGCACTGAATCTTGGATCTAAAATGAGCTCTCTCTTTTGCACCACTTAGGATCCCAAGATTGCTTAAGAACTGCAACACTCATTACAAAAATCCAAAGAGGGGAAAATGGGTATGTTGTTCTCAGTCCCAACATCTTTGGTTTAAATACAGGCAGTCCTCGACTTATGATCACAACAATTTCCATTGTTAAACGAGACAGAGTTTTCTCCCATTTTACGACCTTTCTTGCCAGAGTTGTTAAGTGAATCACTGCAGCTTTTAAGTTAGTAACACAGTTGTGAAGTGAATCTGGCTTCTCCATTGACTCTGCTTGTCAGAAGGTCGCAAAAGGGGATCACATGACCCCAGGACACTACAACCGTCATAAATATGAGCCAGTTGCCAAGCATCTGAATCATGATTACATGACCATGGGGATGCTGCAACATGAAAAATGGTCATAAGTCACTTTTTTCAGTGATGGAACTTAGAAGGGTCACTAAACAAATGGTTGCAAGTCAAGAACAAAAGGTTGGATAAAAGTTATTTCACAGCAGATTTTTTTTTTCCCCACCAGTTGTTTACCTTAATCACTAACAAGCTACTTCCCGGATAGCCAAAACTGAACCTTCACTTGCATGCAAACATAATTCTAACACGGGCAAATAAAGTGTAGCATGTAGCCAGCTCTGTAGATGTCTACTCACCTCCAGCTGTGATTAGAAGAAATTCAATTAATGGCTTCCACCGACTCATGATGCAACCACTTTAAACTGAATTATTGTGGTAGAAGAGGGATTGGATTAATGCCACGTTTTGGTCCTTAAGAAGCCACAATGATCCTAGTGGTTTTTCTTCCCTACTAGCAGGTTCATTCAGCCACTTCTCTGGCGAACAAGAAGTCTACTGTTCCCTGATGAAGAGTTTTGAGCAAAGAGGAAGTAGTGCTCAAGAAGAGTGAAATCTCTGAGTTATATAGGCAGTTGGTAAGTCACATGTGAAAAGGAAAGGGTGGAGAAAAAGCATCTTTGAAACATGTGAGGGTGCTTTTTGAAAAGTTAGTGTGGAACTGAAATTAAGAGCAAGATTGCAGATGCTATGGCCAGTTACTTTCACTTTCTTTGTTAAAATTCTGCAATAGGCATTTCAATCTGAGCAGAAGAATGGATTCCAGAGACAAATGGATCCATCTAGATGAGCTAGGACAGGGGTAGGCAACCTTGGCTCTTTTATGACTCGTGGACTTCAACTCCCAGAATTCCTGAGCCAGCATGGCTCAGCTTGGAAACTCTCCCTTTCCCCTCAGCATGGCTGGTTCAGGAATTCTGGGAGTTGAAGTCCACGAGTCATAAAAGAGCCAAGGTTGCCTTCCCTTGATCTAGGACAGTGTTATTCAATCTTAATCATTTTTAAGATATGTAAACTTCAGTTCCCAAAATTCCCCAGCCCGCATGGCTGGCTAGTGAATTCTGGGAGTTGAAGTCCACATATCTTAAAGTTGTTAAGATTGAGCAACATTAATCAAAAACCATCTTGCTGATTCTCAGAAGCAGAAAGAAAAGTATAAAAGGCCTTGTGGTATTCCCCATCCCACTCAAATCCTTTGAGATTAGGGCAGTGATGGCGAACCTTTTAGAGACCGAGTGCCCAAAAACTGGCCGCACCCCTGCGCCACCCCCTGCCCTGCCCCTGCCCCACCCTCCATCCTCTGCCCCGCCTGCCCGCAGGGCCACTCACCACCTCCAGGGCCCGCTGCAGATCGCCAGGCAGCCCAGCAGCGCTATGACGGTCACGCCCTCTGCCCATGCCCTGCAGCATCAACTGTGCATGATGGGGTGTGAGGGCAGAGTCTTGTCTACGCTGCCTGGCTGCCATGTCCTTGGCTGCACTGCTCTGTGTGGGCCATGCTCAGGGGTGACTCTCCTTCAGGGGGGGCTGCTGGAAAGGAAGATGTCGCAGGGGGAGGCGAGGCTGGGGCAACGGCACGTGTGCCCACAGAGAGGGCTCCGAGTGCCACCTCTGGCACCCGTGCCATAGGTTCGCCACCACTGGATTAGGGGAACTTTCTTTCCAATACTGATCAATTGAAACCAAGGATGGATTCCTGCAGAATTTGAATAATAATAAAAAAGTATTCCTTGCCTCTAATCATGGGCGAGGTTACCAAGCAGAAAAAAAATGACACAACAGCATTAGTTTAGTTTTTAACTAGTTACCAGAAACAAGATTTTTTTTTTTAAAAAAAAAGGTATTGACATTTGATTTCATTAATTGCTTGTCTTTACTTAAGAAGTCTTGACTTGTAAAAGGAATAAGATTCATTAATGGCATTCTTCACAGCCATATTGAAAGAAATATATTTTGCCGGTATAAAAGGCTGCATTTTATCTTGAGTTTTTTTTAAAACTCTCCCAATATTAGTATTTTTCCTTATAGACCTGATAAATGTTCAGCACAGAATCACATTTTTTTTTTCCCCCAGACATGGAAATTTTCCACAATTTGTGGAACTTTTCAATTTCCAATCAGAGTAACTGAAGAGATAAAATTTCTAGAATGGAGAGAAGATAGTTGCCACATACTACCTCTTGTGAACAATTTCTGTTGTGGCAACATGCGGAAGCTTCCTTGAGTGAAATAATACACCCAAATTTACATTAAATCTTTCCTAAAACCGTCTTGCCTCCTTGTGGGCAAAATTAGCATTGCATGAAGTTTTAGCACTTTATGGTAACTCTATTTTACTTGGTTGATTTCTTTAAAGGCTTCCAAAGCTTTGCTCTTGCCATTTCCTTGCTTAATTCACTGAATTTTAGAGGCTATTCATAGTCATTGCCTCCCATTTTTAACATTCATGCATTTCCTAGCAATGCTTCTTTTTACTTATTTCTGACCAGAAAAATCTATTGAGGATAAAAAAAAGAAATAATCTTTTGACTAGGTTCTTTGTTGTACAGCTTGATATTTAATGTTCACACTTTTGTAGCATGTTAGCTACGGTCATTCCAACATAATAAAAAAGCCGTAATAAATATGTTCTGAGTTTTATTGACTGGACAATAACAAAAAATTAATGTGAGTTTATACTACTGGAGTTACATACAGTATCTTACTCAAGAAGATAGTAATATAATTCTAATCTAGTCACCGGCTTTGGGTTCTGATATGATTTTTCAATAACTAAAATTATTATTTTTTAAATGGATTGATGTAGTGGCAGTGCCAAACACCATTGTTATCGCAAGAAGATTAGTGACAATTTTTACTGCTCCTTCCTGTTAAGAAACATTTCTGCTTGTTTTTCACTTTTGCTTGTTGGATAAAACCTGTGAAAATCTCACACTTTAAATTCCCACCCCATTGTCACATGCTACCCAGTCAAGGTCAATCAAGTCTTGCAGTCCTGTGACTATAAAAGCAGGGTCCTGAAGTCATTCTGTCAAGTTTTGATAAAACTTTGAGGTTATTGTTGATGATTGGGAACTTCTGCACAGAACCGAGCCCTGGGTTGTGGAAACTGACCCCCTTCGGGGTATCTCTGTTGTTGTTATTAAGGATAAGGTGAGTCTTTTAGGGAGAACAGTCCTCCTTTTGTAAGTTCTGTCCTCCCTCAAAAAGTGTCCTCCTTCATGTCCTCTGTTGAGTCCGTGGCGGGAAAACAGACACGAGAAGCAGCTGGAGTTCTCAGTTTCATTTATTCAGCGTTCAGCTTACATGAAGATGGCTTCAGCCTCGCCCAAACGCCTCGCAGCCTCTTATATAGGCAACTCCCGGGTAAATGGGTTACTTTTCCCGCGCCAGCACCCGCGCATGCGCACGGCGCTGGCGACAGCCTGTCTGGTCCCGGGCAGCTTTGCACCTGCCCGGGACTGCCTGCAAACGCCCGAGCCGTTTGCAAAGGCTCGGGACATAACACCCCTTTCCCCCGGGCTAAAACTACTACCAACATACAACATTTATTTTATATGACATTTTGCTCCCCAGTGCTCCCACTGATTACTGGCTTTTGCCTTGCCAGCAATGTTATGTAATCTTCTAGATACTTAGGAGATTTCTTTGCTCTCTGTGACCTTCTTAGCTCTGGGTTACTGGCATAAGTCCCCTGACTGGAGGGAGGCGTGAGCCTGTTCTCTCTATTGTGCCCTGGTGTCTTCCAAGGACTGTGCCCCGATGCCTGGCCTGCTTGCTTTCCCACCGGGCTCGTCAGGCCAGGGCTTCTGTTACTTTGTGACCTGGTTGACCTACCTAGCTTTAGACCCTCAGGCCCCTTGAAGTGATAGCCGATGCTGGGCGTCTCTGTAGAACCTCCTAGGTCAGTCCAAGACCTGTCAGGAGGCTGTCCATTCCCTGAACCCCATTCTGTGTTCGGGCTCGTGTGGGTTTCTGTACTTTCCCAAAACTCAGGTGTTCCCTGATTTGTGCTAGGGTTGTTGTAGTCGGGACTTGGTTCCTCGACTAACTCTGTGTATGTTTGACCCCCTGTAGGATTTGGGGTAAGGTCAGGCCAACCTTGGGAATTGTGTGCCAGTTCTCTTGCGGGGAATGATTTGTTGGGATGCCCCCGGGTATCCTCCGTTGCTGGAGTGCTGTGTGATGTGTGTGGAAAGTGAGTATGCCCCCGGGGTGACTCCCTGGCTGGAGTAGGCGTGAGTGCCTGTTGTGTGGGTAAGCTCCATGACTTTCTTTTCGGAGCAATTGCAGAACCTTGGGACGGGCCGTTTGTGGCTCCCTCAGTGGAGATGGGCAGTAGCTCTTGCCCTTCCCTTTGCTCCAAAGGGTCCCCCTCCCCCCCTGGAAAAGACCCAGGAGTCTCAGCAGAAAAGTCTCGCCTAGAGCGAAGTTGGTCGATGTGCCGACGCAGGACACGACCGTTGTCCAGGGCAACCTCGTAGGAGAGAGGACCTGTGATCCTGGACACAGAAGCGGGGACCCATGTATGACCAGGCCCGTAATTGCGAGCCCAAACCGGGGCACCCACAAGTAGTTGTCTAGGTGCCCTAGGATGTGAGGTAGATGAAGGCAGTCTGTCCGGATGCAACCGGTCAAGTCTAGTAGTAAGTTGGCGCCCCCAACGAAGTTCAGCTGGACTTCTCCCTGTAGAAGTGGACGGTGTGGTGCGATAAGAAAGGAGAAAGTCAGCCAACCTGTGATGCCAGTCCCCGTAGGTGAGTCTCTTCAAGGCGTCCTTTGCGATGCGCACCATGCGTTCAGCCATACCGTTGGTGGACGGGTGAAAAGGCGCAGACGTGGCATGACGAATCAGGTTTGCCTGTAAGAAAGCTTGGAATTCGGAGGAGGTGAATTGAGGGCCGTTGTCGGACACAATGACATCTGGCAGCCCGTGTGCAGCAAAAATCCCCCTCAGTACCTGAATAGTCTTTGCAGTGGTGGTGGATGAGACAGGCACAACCTCAAGCCATTTTGAATGGCTGTCAACAAGGACCAAGAAGAACTGGCCCTGAAAGGGCCCAGCGTAGTCAATGTGCACCCTAGACCATGGGGACTGTGTTTCCTCCCATCTATGCACAGGAGCTTGGGGCATCTCTGGGCGAGATCGTTGGCACAGGTGGCATGCGTGTACCTTAGCCTCAATATCTTTATCTAAAGCAGGCCACCACAAGTGGCTGCGTGCAAGAGCCTTCATACGAACAATGCCAGGATGACCCTCGTGGAGGGATTCTAAGACCCTAGTCCTCATTGAGGTGGGAATGACAACTCTGTTTCCCCAAAGCAGACAACCCTGAGAAAGGGACAGTTCGTTTCCTTTTGGACCAGAAACTCTGAAACTCAGGACTAGGGCAGTGCTCAGGCCACCCGGACAGGACCCAGGAGCGGACACGTGAAAGTGTGTGATCTGTACCTGTTTCAGCGGTAACATCCCTGGCACTAAGAGGGAGCTCGGGCAAGGCTTGGATTGATAGAATGTTGACAGCTGG